TGGCTTTAGATTGATGCCAGAATCATTGCGCATACAGCTTCACGGGATGAGGTCTCAATGTCCGAACTCATTCTGGCAAAGATTAGAAGCTGAGTGGCTATGGGAAACAGGCACCTTTGATTTTTTTCAAGGGAAACCCTCCACCAACCAAAAATGGGATCCTAAGGGTGCCACTTTCCAAACATCCTCCCAACAAAGAAACAAAGAGTGCCGCTTGGCTGGAAAAACGCTCGCTTTCTTCTCCCAAGGCGCACGAGGCAGAGCTGGCGCTGCACTCGGCCGGAGTCGCCCCCATAGAAGGCGTCCCCCCAGGTCACCTTACCAACCCCGGGTAGGTGATCAAAACACGGTGGTTCTTGCGCGCCCATTAAAAAAAAAAAAAAAAACAACAACAAAAGAAAAAAAAACTCACAACAGCCTTCACATGCCAGCAATCCACGAAACATCAACAGCACCCAAAAAAGACCAAGCTAAAAAATAAGAAACCCTGAAAATCATGCCAACAGTAAAGTCACCACCGAGCCATCGCCTTTTAGCGCGCAGAAGGCGCTGCCGGAGGCGAAGACCTGAAAAAGAACCGCGCTGGGCGTATTTGGGTTGCACACCACTATTTAGAGTTCCCAAGGAAAAAAAAACCTCCTGTCGGTTGGGCGGCCCAACCACCAGTGGCTACCGGTTCCAAAGGGGGCAATGCCGAAAATGCTTGGCATGCTCCACGCAGGGGAATCATATTCAGCGTCTTGCATGAGGACGAATTTAGTTTTTCCAACTGTTCTTCCAATCCACCCAGGAAGTGAGTGATCGCTGACCACTCAAATCAGCTAGTTCAAGGAGTGGTTTCATCAGTAGGCAGTGGGGGGTGGTGGCAAGCCTTAGGAAAGCTGGGGGATGGCCAAAAATTAGAAGATCAGCTAAACCTGGGAGGAAACAAAACAAGCCACCGCAGCTACGTACTTGCCCAGTGGCGGGACAGGAAGGACTTGCTCCTTTTTGCGACGGGAACACGGCGGAAACTCGCCTAAAAAGAGGCGAACAGGAAAGCAAGTCAGATATGTGTGTTCATTCCTCATGGTCATTGCGGAACTGGCGGAATGGGGTGCCTGTTCCCGGCTTTCAACTACTTGTTTCAGATTTGTTGTTGTGTCTTCATTGGCAATCAGCCCAAGAGCAGAACAAAATGGTCAAAGTAAACACGCCGGGGCCGTGGCCAAAGGGCAAGGGGGCCGCGGCGGTGTAGCCGTGGGTGTGGGTGTGTGCATCCTCGTGTGCGTGTGACTGTGTGTGTGTGCGTGACTGTGTGTGTGTGTGTGGTGTGTGACTGTGTGTGACTGTGTGTGACTGTGTGTGACTGTGTGCGTGTGTCTCTCTCTCCGTGTAAGTGTGTGTGTGTGTGTCTGTGTGTCTGCGACTCTGTGTGTCTGCGACTCTGTGTCTTTGTGTCTGTGTGTCTGCGTGTCTGCGTGTCTGCGTGTCTGCGTGTCTGCGTGTCTGCGTGTCTGCGTGTCTGCGTGTCTGTGTGTCTGTGTGTATGTGTGTCTGTGTGTCTGTGTGTGTGTGTGTTTCAGCGCTCAAACCCCTTGTCCTCCCCAAACTAACAATAGACTCATGCCTTCCACCTGGTCGTTGGGAACATAATTGTGTTGAACCTTGCAAAGGCCTATCTAATAGTTGCCCAGGATCTAAGATCTGCTCAACACGTCACACTCACAAGTAGGAAGAAAGGAAATTGGGCCGCTGCGTCCACCCCAAATGAACCTCGGACCACCAGTCCGATACCCTCTCCAAGACCCACTTGGAACAAATCCTGGCTACCTGTTGTATATGGGCGATTCACAAAATAGGAGTCCCCTGCAATGGTTGGCTTACTCTTGGCTTCCCTTTGAATGACACCCAAAAGGGTTGTCTACCATTTTGGATAGTCTCCCATATGACTCGAGTCTGGCGCCCGCCTCGTGCACGTCCACAAGCTGGTCCCTGACGGAACTGGAATCGCCCCCGCAGTCAGCGCGGCCCCAGCTCCAAACAGAGCCGTCCCTGGCATTGGAAACGAAGCCTGGACCACCCAGCGTTCCCATGCCACTCCCAAGAGTTTTTGGGTCTTCAAACAGCGGTATTTTGAGGACCAAAACTCCATCTGCACGCTTAGGGAGTCCCAAAACAGGGGGGAAAAAAACACAGAAAAGGACGTTCGTCACGGGTGACTTCATTTTACCGAATCGCTGAGCTCGTTAAGACCTACATTGGCAGAGCCATCGATTTCTCCCCCCGGAAACTAACACGGAGCCAAAACAAGGGTCCGATCACAACAGCAAATTCTACAAAGAGGGGTCGTTCACGTCCCAACAGTTCCGAGAAGGGAGTGCGGAAACAATGCATATATATATATATAGACATACGATTCCTTTTGTGGATCCCAAGTTTGAACTCTGAGAACCAGCAGGATATGTGTCTCGAAATCGGGAAATGGACCCACAAATTGGCGGTGTTCCTTTGGGTTTCCCTCCAAACCAACCTGAGAAGGCTTCCCGTCAAACGGCTTTGGGCCACGTCCCCACCGCTGGTCACCTGCGGATCACTGCGAAGGCTCCCGCCGAGGCGGCGCCCACGCGCACGCCGTCGCTTAACTGCCGCAGGTCCCAGCCGTCGCCACCGTAGTGGGGGTCGCCTACGGAAATGGTGACGCGCGTTGTGCGGCTCTGACTGAATGGTTCGTTGATCCCCAAAGCTTAAACTTTTCGTGGAATATGCCAGAATGGCAATTAGCTCCAAACTCGTATGGCAGGGAACCGCGGTGGTTATAACGGCTGTAACCTAGTTACTGCAAGTAGGATGAACATCCAAGAAACTTGGGGCCACGTCCCTATCTTGTCCAGAGATGCGTTGTTTTCTAACAAAACCACAAAACAACAACATGCAACCGGGGATAAAATTGGGTATTAAAAAGAGAGATGGTTGCACAAAATGCATTGAGCCACTAGAAAGTTGATTGCAAGTTGAGCTAATTACATGGGTTGACAACGCTTTACACTGGGTGAGACAAGTTTCGCCATGGGTGTGTAGGCAACATCACATAAACCCTTCCTGCCGTGGTATGCTGGCCCATGGCTCATGGCAAAACTTTGCAACCCTAGAGCTGTTGGGGTGGCGAGCAGTTGCGGGCTTGCAACACGCCAGAAACCGAGCGAATGGCGCGATAGATGGGTACGGCTTTTAACTATCCCCCCCTCCCCCCAGCCCGCGTTCTCACACCAACGGCGTCCAATGCGAGTGACTGGTGCGCTAACCGTCATTGCCTTGTGATGCGTGCCTTGTGGTGCGAGGGTTTCTCACAGCTCTGAGTAAACAAATATTGGAGGAAGAAAGGCACCGGAGCGTAGTTGGGCAAGGAAGTGCGATTGAGCTTCGCAAAACGTGCTTTGCTTCTTGGACATGACCAGGCTTGAGTGTAGCTCTGGGGCTTGCTAAGGCCCACACCAAACTAACCGTTTTAATATATGCATGCATTCTTGAACAGGCAATATGACCCAGGGATCACCCAAACGACAGTTACTTGCACGTAAAGACACGCGTTACTCCTGATGCATAAAACACAAACGCGAGGGCAGCGTTGCCAGGCGAGCTTTGCACACAGCCCAACACATGGCAGGCAAAATTCAGCGCATGCTATTTGGAAATGTGTCTCAAGGCAAGCCACAACATTTCTGTCCCGTGTCTTTCATTCTGGGAAAAAGAAGAACAAAAAAACAGAAGAGATGCTGGCAAAGGCAAAGTGGTAACCCAGAGACAGAGCGGAGATTCCATCCCGCCCAACTATCATACCATGAACTCTTTTGCTGTGGGATGGCTGCTAGAGACACCGTTTCAGAGAAACCCACCTTTCCCGGAACCTGGTTGCAACAGGCTTGTATGTGGGGGACACGATGGAGTATATAACCTTCTTGAACATTTCTTACAAAGATCCCCTGGGAATGTCCTGTTGAATTCATGAATGCTTCCTGATTCAGCATGGGCGGCTCCCCTTTGAGTGAGAGAGGCCCTCTGGCTATTACTATTGGTGTCATTCCTGTTGATTGACTAGTGATCATTGCTGACCGCCCCTCAGTCACAATGGAGCTGCCTGCGATTCCCCTGCAAACATCCTCCGGGAGGAAAGTCAAATCACCAAGAAGGGACAAACAAGATCCATCGAAAGCCCCCCCCAGCAGAGAAGATACCCAGAAAATGCACAGGATGGTTGGTGCCGCCGCCCTCCGTCATATCGCACTGAGGAATTTGAATGGACCTCCAATCGAAGTATCCAAATAGGTGTGCCTTTTTTGACGGCATCCTTTTGGGGTTTGTTTCAAAGAAAAACCGCAAGGAGCGAGAGCGAGACACAACCAAATGGGCCGCCCTGGAATCCTTCGCCGTCAATCGCTGTCTTTTCGCCAGGCCGCCCCAGGCGAAGACTCGCCCATCCCTGCGGATCGCTGCGAATGCGCCACCGGAAGAGGCAATCTCCTGAGCTTCATGGGCTGCAAGACAGCTGGGAAGTAGACAAAACGAAAAACGCTTGTTCGGCACCTTGCCGTATATTTGAGATCAACATAAGATTCTCCGCCCAAACCGCACCAGGCTTTGGCAAGTACTCTCTCCCTCTGCTGTAGGTCTCAATGCCAAAAGCAAGACATGTTGAAATTTGTGAGATGTTCACTCTGCCTTTGCCATTCTTACTGCAGGATGGCACTTTTGGCGGGCACCGCCCCTTTCAAGGCCTCAAGGGGAAAGTCCTGCAAACTGTGTGGCAGTCTGGCAGCTGCTTATCAATTTCTGGTAGCATGGTTATGTGAACCACCAAACAAGGGTGTTTCCCCATGTAGTAAATCCAGGGCCCTCATCCCAGGACAGCGGGGAAAACCAGAATCATGGCGCCTTAGTTCAAACAAAGAAATGCTATGTTCTCAGCCCCAACTAAATGTCTGGTCTGCTTGTGATTTCCTGTAATGAATCGTGCCAAAACGTGGTCATTGCCCTGAACCTCACTTTTTGAGTGGACTGACCCAAGGAAAAGTCCGAACCTGTTTTCTCTGTAGAATCACCCCCAGAAGTATGTGGCAAACCTTGGCGATGGCAAAACCAAAAGCGGTGGCTGTCTTTGCAGTTTCCCTTTCAAGAACCACCCAAAGAGTCCATGTCCAATTTATGAAGCCGCCCATATGGCAAAATGACCTGGGGTTCTCTGTATGTTGCCTTTAAACATCACCCCGCCAGGAAGCTCGATTAAGACAAATGGACCGCCACAAAGAGAGACAAACAACGCCCTCTGTGTCTAGATGTCCTGTTGAAAAAAACAACAGGCACTGATAAACTGTTTAGCCAAAACCAACACCCGTGAGATCTATCGTGAGCCAAACTGACCTTCCACCCCCTGTGCCCTCCCTTGCTATCTTCTCTCTATTGTCAAAGTTTTGCCCCACCCTCCCGATGACCATCGGCATTAAAAAAACGGCACCAGACTTGTGGGGACTTGACTTCAAATAAAGCTTGAAAAGGAAACAAGAACGCCCGCTGGAGACTGGAGGAGTTCTGTGCCCAAGTCTCCGTGATGTCCTTCAGCTCATCCCGGACTTTGAAGCTGTTGCCACCCGCCTTCGCTTCGCCCCAAGACACCACCCGCCCGTCCCCCCGCAGGGCGGCGAAGGCATGGGCAGTCCTCAGAGCTGAAAGAGCCATGCATCCCTGGAAAAAGTGGACGCAGGGCCAATTGTGGGACCTCCAAAATTGTGGGTTCCCTTTAAACCAACCTGCAAAGGCACCCTCAAAACAACCCAAACCGATTTGTACAAAAAGACAGACTTCCCTACATTGCCCTTTCAAGCCTAATCGGTCAAAGAAAAATCAGCCTAGAAGGTCATGTTCAACACCAATATTGGGAACCCAGAAACGTCCCCTTGCCAGTTTCCGAAGTTTGGAGGGCAAGTCACTGCCGTTTCTTTGATCTAGCCAGGGCTGGAAGCCTAGGATTGGCTATACACCCAAATACGAGCCGCAGTTGATATGAGCGATTCTTTTGGGTACTACAACTACCAATCTTGCCTGTTGCGCATACATGGACCGCTGGGGAGAGCTTTGGATGGTTCATCCCTCCCCTTGTCAACGCCTCATCAATAAGTTCACAAGGTCACGAACCCCCTTTTCGCCTTGCAAACCAAAAGCAAACTGCTCCCCTGCAGATTAACATTAAGAATATTGTGGGGTATTTGGGCCTGAGACCATAGGCCCCTCTATGACTCGTTGAACAAAAATTGTTTCCATACCCTGGCCACCTTAGGGCAAGCAACAAGAGCATGTTTAAGGTTTAAACCTGCAACGGGGGCTTGAATCGTTCAATCCTGATTCCCACCGTCTCGTCCATATACAATGCAAAGAGCCCCATGATACCTCATAGACAAAAGACCCTAATCTCTATGACTCAACTAAGACTTAACATGGGCTTGTACGACACTTAAACAAGTTATGAAGTGAATATTACTACTCGTATGTTTTAGCCCCGCACATCAGACCTTGGCGTATGACTAAACCGGCTGACCTCCAGTTCTATGAGGACTCGGGTGGGCATGTGTCAAAATGGGGCAGGGGGACCCACCCCCAAAGAACAGGTGGTTTCCTTTTGGTTTCCCTTGAAAACCACCCCAAGAAGGGGCTACCCTCCAAAGAACCGCAGACCCAAGTAGCGCCGCAAGCTGCTTCACATCCTCCAGCTCTCCGTGCACGGCACTCTGGTCACCTCCACCCCACGGCAGGCCCCAGGTGATCACTCGCCCGCTGGCCTCTGACATCGGAGAGCGAACTCGGAACTGCTCCAAGGGAGTGCAATCTGGGTGACCCGAGTGGGTATACAAAGACCCTGGTGGCCTTGTGCCGCCTTTCAAAGGGGATAACAAACCTCTAGGACGAAATCAATCAACAGGTGAACATAGATTGCGCAGCCCCAAGCCTATACAACCACCCCAACCACTCCCCCTGCTTCCTGGAGCGTGGAAACCACAACCAAAAAAACCAAACCTCAAAAAGCCCAAACCCCAATCTCAGCCCAAACCCAACTTAACCCCAATCTTGGCCCCAACGAAAAACCCCAAACCCGACACCCCTTTTCCCCAACTGCGCCTGGAGGGCCGCGAAGGCGCAGCTGGAGGCGCACAGCTGCACCACCTCCACCAGGTGCCGCTTCGTCGAGCCCAGCGCCCCCCCACCCGAGGGCAGGCCCCACCTAAGCCGATGAACCAAGTTTCACCATATCCGGCGAAGATGTCGCAAGCATATATATATATGTATATATATATATATCATATATGTATATATATATATATATGTATGTATAAATATGTATATATATATATATATATATTATTGTACAATATATATCATATATACATATATATATATATATGTATATATGATATATATATATATCGAGAGACGGTATATGTGTATATTATGTGAACCAATGGCTACTTCAAACCCCGCACATAAGAATACGTAGGGTGTTGGCAACTAGAACAAAGGATCATTGCTGCAAACTAGCCAAGGAATATTGTTATATTGTTGTGTGCCTGTGTTTCCAAGCAGCTGGTCCGAACAAGAGAACCCACCGGAGACTCTTCCGCATCGTGCGCAAGCCAGGCCGAGGCGCGCCACAACGGAGCCGTCCGCCTTGAGTGCCGCGAAGGAACTGCCGGAGGCGCAGACCTGGCGCACGTCCACCAGCTGCGCCTCACCAGTCGAGTCAGGTGGGCGTAAGGCGAATTTTGGGCGGTTGTCGTGTGGTTTTTAACATGGTTTCTGGTACTCGCAGCGGGTTTCACTGCACAGCCGCGCGTTCGCTGCGCAGAAGCTGTCCGCGATTTGAGTGGATTTTTAGGGTGGATGTTTAGGGTGGATTTAAGTTGGGGTTAGGCCAGTGTCCTATGGTTCTGAAAAGGAAACGATGGTTTTGAAAAAGGGAAACCAACTACTGAACCTCTGTTTGATGCATTTACACGGGCCTAAAATGATGGACCCTCTTTGAGACGGAGGCTTACCATGAGTGTACCTCTGTTGCGCTTATGTTCAATGGACAAGTGAGAAACACCAAACATAAGGTGGAAACCTTAAAGATCCCTTGTAAAACCTTGCCTCGCTACAAACAGAGTCGAGCCGCGCTGTAGCTGCCCAAAAGGCGCGTCTGTGTGTCTGTGTCTGTGTGTGTGGTAAGGTTGATGTTTAAACGTTTAACATCAAACGGAAATCCGTTTTCAACATGTTCCCTGCAACAGGTCCTTTTGACGCAACCCATATGCACGTTTCCTCCAAAATAAGCAATGGCCCCGGCAAATAACCTGGGTGTTCCATGGATTTCCCCATTGCCAGCCAGAAGGGATTCAACTTCCCATGCGAGGACCGGTATGTTCTCCCCTGACAAGTGACAGCAGGACCCCAGCAGAAACAAACAAAAATCTTCGTGGGGGAATCTCCTCGGGGTAATCGTGCGATTAGAAAGGCACCCCAACAAACCGACCGATTTCCACGGTTGACCCCGGGCGAGAGAAACTTATTGAAACCAAAGAAAACCAAACCACACATCTTCCATTTTGAGTAAACCTGTTTGCAACCGTTTGAGACTACCCGTAGAGACTGTCCTTACAGACTACCCTTAGAGACTACTCTTGGATACTCTTAGACTTAGGGACTACCCCTCGATGAAGCATCTACTCTAGGTACCTAGAACGGGCTTGTGGGGTACTGTAAAGCCAAATGAAGACATAAACCAAAGGAATAACACTAAAAACACTCAAATGGGACAAACAACACAAAGTGTTAAACACCAACAAGACATCACTGTTTTTACTCCGACCATGAAACACGAAGTCGCCTGCACATCCTCTGAGTCGCCGCCATAGCGCAGGTCCCCCCAGGTCCGCACAGAGCCTTGGTGGCTGGGGCAAAAAACCCGCCCCTCGATGTACCTGTCGAATCCTTTGCGGGTGGGTTGCAAGGCAACCACAAACTGGGACAGTGTCTTTTTTGTTGGGGTGAGTTGAAAGGAGAGGCACTCCCAACACCATCAGAACAAAAGAGCCATCTGTTCTTCCCTTAACACGCCTTGCTCTCTGTCGGGTTCATGTTAAATCCATAGGAACCTGCCCAACACCGCACCCCTATATAACGAAGAGTTCTGCCGGTGAAGATTGAAGGGGATGGGAAACCCAAAAACAGAAACTGCCAGCTGTGCAGCTCACAAAAAGCGACTCCTGAGAAGGAACATTTGCCCAACAATGACTGACTGTGCCCCATATTCCCTCCAAATGAGTTCTTCTACTTCCAAGGAAAAGCGACACCCACTCAACAAAGGCCGAAACTTCAAAAAGGATCTGGAACCCAAAAAGAGAATCTCAAGCATTCTTCAATTTCCCAAGTATCGTTTAAGTACCCCCAAAAGGACGGACACCCCCTCCTCCTAAAAAAAACAAGGGGGCTAAACCAATTGTTGGCATCGCGCGCCCATTGGACTGGGGAGCCGTCCCCCTGGATCAGTGCGAAGGCGATGGACCGACGGCTCGAGGCCACCTGCAAGACGGCAAAGGTCCGAATGAGGTTTGTCGAAATCCGAAACCCAAAGCCCCAAACATCCGAAATCACAAATCCTCTCATAGGGTTACTATATTCCAAGGGGAAACTGACAAACTGTTGCTTTTTGGGTTTGGTGGTGCCATTCGAAGACGGACCCAAATGATCCATCCAATTAATGTGCCATGGTCCAACTCCCCAAATGTGGGTCACGTTTATGGCTGCTTGTATAAGCCCCTACTAACTAAAAACATGACCACCCACTAGCACCCGTAGTAAGCCCAGCGCGTAGGTCATTTGACCATGGCGCAAGTTGTGTCTGGTGAGAACCAGATATGCCAAAACCATACGGCAGAAGATATTTAAAAAAAAAAGGATGCACAACATGGGAAAGCCCTTCAACGCAGTATCTAAAGGCTGTTCCTCCATTCCTTTCGCCATGGTTCTTACGTGAAACCCCCAGAAGCCTTGAAGCGCTTGATACATGTGTGGCAAGTATTGGGTCGGGAAGCGGACGACAAGTTCTCCGTCCTCCTGTGGCCCAATTTTAGGACAAAGCACATATGTGCAGCTTTGCTTTGGCACATTTTGTTCTACAGGGACCAGTAGGCGCGTCCCCACGCAGCAGAAGGGGGGAAGTTGGAAGAGCCGAAAGCCACTTCGACATATCCCTTCCAGGAGCCCCGAAGGGAGGTTCAAACCACTTATTGGCAAACTCTTGGCAAGACTGCCACACAATTCGCAATCCATGACAATATTCCAGGCCAGAAGTTGCAGCCATGCAAGATGTTGAACTTGGGCGCATTTTTTTTCGAAATCAAGGACCTCCACTGTTCGGTTCCCCTTTGGATTTGAAGTACAACACACCCCTAATTTCCCCAAAGTATCTCATATTCCGAAGTCAGGTCAAAGTAAACCGTGTCACCTTGGAGGCTCCAAACTAATGCCTGCGTTCAAATATCTGATTCAGCAGGGTATTCTATGATCTATCAACTTACCCTCAATTAGTGGCTTGGGTCGGTTTGAAGGTTACAGCCTGCTAGACCCCAATTGATTCTAGAAAACAACCAGGGGCTCACATCCCCAAACAATCCGAACCCAAAGAATGCAAGTGCAAGTGTGACTTTTGATAATACCATGGTCCCAATCGCCAAAATGGCGGTCGGTGTCGCACCAATGGGTTGGAGCTATCTACTCGTATGTCAGCCAAGTCTGGCCGCCTGACCCAGCAAGCAAAAACTCAGATATGTCATAATTAACACGCTTCTACCTGCATGTCCTTGAAGCACACCAAGACAAATCCGCTACCAACCAACAGATATATATATATATATATGCTACCCCCCAGGGACCTACCTTTTAGCTACCTCTCCAGTGCATGATTTGCCCATCTAGGACTGGGAGGAACGATCTCTCAATTAGGACCAGGACCAAATGAGACTAGAACCCAGGATCTCTCAACTGGGACTGGGACCAAACTAGGACTAGACGACCCACCTCAGATTAATACAAAAAAATAAACTTCAAGTACAACTTCGTCTGTCACGTCCTGTATACTTTCGAATTATTGCAGTAAACTAGGGAGCAACCTAGCACTAGAACCAAGGATCTCTCATCTAGGACCAAACTAGGACTAGACCATTTAAGTCTACTTCTTATAGTATTTGGATGTCAAGTATTCCATTCTGGTGGAAAGAAAGTCATGTTTAATATTTGATTTGAAACAGAATAACCATAAACTATGATTGGATATGTTCTTTATTTTATTCTACTGTTCAGTTAGCAGTTGCATAGAACTTGATTAATATATTAACTACAATTCATAAGGAACTTCCTTTGTATTGTCCTTTGTACGTTCGATTTATTTCAGTAAGCTAGGACAATACTAGGCCTAGAACCAAGGATCTCCCAACTAGGACTAGGACAAAACTAGGACTAGACCATCTGAGAATCTAACTCCAGTTCTGAAAGTGATTGAATTTCAAGTACAATGTTCTATTGGACAGGAAATCGTTTGTACCATTTAATTTGACATAGAACAATCAATACTGAAGTTCGAATCTAAATCGAAATTCTGGCAGGAGTATGTCCTTCTTCAGTTCCATTGAATTTCAAACAGAAATTGGGTCGAATGTGATAAAACATATTAAGTGGAATTTATAAGGAAAGAATCCAAAGGTCCAAAACTTGTGTCTTTTCACTAGTCTTAACACTACCATGGTCAGAAAACACCGTAACACACAGTGCTGTGTAGTATTTTTCATACTCAATTCACATCTCCACCAACGAACACTCGCTAAATGCTCGATTGAATTTGAACACGATATAATTGGGACTCAATACGGAAATATTTGGTCAGAATCTTAATGGTTATCAAATCTGAAATTTCGAGTTTAAATAGAGTTCCTTTCCCAATATGTACTTACAACTCAATTAGAGCTTTAACAGGATTTGAAAAGGAAAGAACCCAAGCCTGTATTCAACGTTCAAGAATCAATATTATCTAGACAAGTCTTCTTTGCAAACGCGAGTCCAGGCCCGAGTGAAACCCATTGAAACCAACTGAAATTTCCGTTGAGCCTGGGTTCAAGATTCCCTAGAAAACTGTGGCCTACAATCTTGAATGTGGGCCTAGATTGAAGCAGATTGAATGAATAATCAGGACTTGGATGCTTGCACAACACTGTGCCAAAGTACAGCCGCGCAAAGTGCAATGTTGAATTTGGGTCTCGATTTAAACCGATTTAAGTTTAAATCGGGCATGGATTCAAGATTCAAAATTCAAGAATCCAGGCCAACATTTTTTCAGGGAGTCTTGAATCTTGAATCTTGAATCCATGCCCGATTTAAGTTAAATCGGTTTAAATCGGTTTAAATCGGTTTAAATCGGACCCTGGATTCAAGACTCCCTGAAAAAGTTTGGCCTGGATTCTTGAATCTTGAATCTTGAATCCATGCCCGATTTAAGTTAAATCGGTTTCAATCGGTTTAAATCAAGCCTGAAGCTTCCAGAACGTCCTTGGAAATGCTTCTTTTTCATTGCTCTCCCCAAAGCCCAACAAAGGGTAGGACACACTGCAAATACCAGTGAATTCTTCAAAAAGGTAGTACCACATATACATATATATTATATATATATATGCACATTGACTGGAGTCTACGCGATACTGCAAGCTGAACAAAGCCTTCACAACCCACGCCTTGGCCCGCGAAGCCACTGCTTGCACAGTGTCTCCTGAACAGATTTCATCCAATCTGATTACCCATTGGCGGATTACCCATTGGCTGATTACCCATTGGCTAATTACCATGCGAATCGTGTATTAACATGGAGTTGCTGCCTGATTGCAAAAAAAACAATAGGCCTTGCGAATATTTGTTGGCGGCGCCCTGCATGTGCCCCGTGTCCCAGATTCGAAGAAAGCGACCTGAAGGACACCCATGAACCCAGCGTTGCTCATTGCACATCGCGTGCGCGGAACGGCACCAGTAATTTGTGGTTGTCCAGCACACATGATGCAAGCAAAACTGGCAATGACGCGCGCAAAGGGTGACATGAACATTGATTGTTATTGTTTTGTTCTGGTGTGTTTTTTGTTGGTCCCGGGTAACATCCTGTCAAGGCAAAGTGTGTGTGTTGAAACGAAGGTTGCCATGAATGGTTTTTGTGTGTGTGTGTCACACCCGCGCCCCCTGGTGGATATCTGGTTAAAGTCAACTTAAGACAAACCGTGCAAATCAGAGGCTATGAAAGAGCGTGTCCCTTGGCATTCAGGACGCCCCCCTAAAAGCAACATGCAAGCAGGCAAACAGGGGAGATTACATGCAAATCCCCCAATCAGCCGGGAACAAAACATGGGAATGATTGAGAAGGTGCCATTCACTCACTGAGCAACTAACGAATTTCTTCAAGCAATGGGGTGTGGGGTTACATGTTCATCTGCAGCTTTCCTATAATTACCCCGTAAACATCACTCCGTTTGAGGGAACTCACACAAGTTGAAAGAAAAATGACGATTGAGTCCACCAAAAAGGGGAATTTCGGGCAGGCGTCCCATCCATCCGGGCCTCGGCTCTTTGCCCCAGTTGCCCGGTGACCCTTGTAACAAGGGGAGAGCCCTTTGTTGGGGGTTGATTCCAGGTGCATATGCCAACAGGCCTGCTGGACTGCCCCGCGCTACACACGCGATATCCCCGAAATAAGGCAGCGGGTGCAGAGTCAGCTCCATGCTTGCTCTAGCTCTCTGTCGGAACACTCCGTGCACCTTGGTACCACACGCACGCCTATGGTACCAAAGCATACACACAGTGTAGAGACTTGCGCCAAATCGGCCCCCCTGTATCAACATGACTAATCATGCGTGACGTTGCTCAAACACTTACCCCCTGTGCGGCACTGATCATTGTGGTCCCGTTCTCGCATCAAATTGGCGGTTAGTCGACAAAGTTGTTCGCTGACAACGTTCAACACGGGCGCAAAACTCAAGCACTTTGCTTGCAAACATGTTCTTAGCAAATCTGTTGGGGAAGTGCTCACTTAATGTGAGACTTCAAAGCGCCTTAGCCCATGAAAGAGTGATCATCTATGGGCATTGTTGTTTCCGGACTGGGAAGCTTCCACGTCTCACAGCCCGTAGGATATGCTGATACTCCAATCGGCCTTGATGGACTGCCCCGCACAACACACGCCATATCCCCGAAATCAGGCAACGGGTGTAGCGTCAGCTTGAAGATTGTTTTAGCCCTCTCCCGGTATACTCCGCACACCTTGGTACCATGCGCAAGCCCAAGCATACACACGGTGTAGGGACTTCAGCCAACTGCCCCCTGCGTGTAAACATGATCCATCAGGCATGACGTTCCACAACGATTCACAAAAATAGTGGTTTCCCTGTTGGCCTCCGACTCCGACCTGACAAAGGCAGCCTAAGCCTAAAC